AAGCACTTTACGCAGCCCCGACTGTCCCTTTCGGGACCATAGACAGTTCTAGGACAGTTTGAGGAGACCCGATAGGGGCTTCTATGATGGCGTTTTTGGAGGTATGGTTTTGGGACCTCATTTTTTTTCTTCAATGGTTGCATCTCGTGATGAACGAGTCCGCCCTGTAGCTGACGGTGAATAGCCATGAAAGTTTCGGATTCGAATGAGTGATAACACTGCAGCGGATTAAACTGTCGATCTAGTCAGGGCATCGATGATGTTGTTTTCCCCATTCTTTAAATGATCCTATAGTAGAAGTGTGACTTCCTGTAATTGAGCCACCGGGTTTGTCGCGGTTTGAGGATGAGTTGCGCCCGAAGGTACTGTAAGGGTTTATGATCGGTGCGACAGTGACATCGGCGCCAGTCAGACATGTTGAACGCGTAGATGATGGCGAACATCTTCTTGTCTTGAATCAGATAGTTCATCGCCTGCCTGCAATTTGCGTGTCTCATAGGCGATTGGTTGTAAACAGTTGTCGAAATCTCGGAGCAGCACCGCCGATGGCGAAATATGAAGCGTCGGTGACGAATTCAAACGACTTGGATGGGTCGGCGATCCGTAGAACAACAGAAAAAATTTTCAACCCTTGAAAAGCCGCCTCAACTTCTTACATAATTATTTCCTTTACAACTTCAACACCTTTTTCTCTACATAATTATTTCAAAGGTAACATTATTTCCGAGTGCTACGGACAAACGCATTCCAGCGAACTTTCCCTGAATCCCTACTGTGAATAGAGTCGTTTCATTTGTTATTGATTGTTTCATCTGTGATCAAACGCGATTTTCTTGCGAGGCAAGGTGTAACTATCCGTGATAGTGGTGTGATTATACGTGATATATTTACCACTTACTATGACTGTTTGAGATAGCAAAGTGACCTTATGTGATAAGTTGGCCATATATGTGACTAGCCATATAATTTCCCTACAGAACAACGCGAATGGAAACAGTAGATCTGATGTCACTGAAATCGATTTGAGAAGAGAAAACCACATTCGACCAACTTCATACATACTCAAATTATTACCGAGCGGGTTCTCAGCTATAATCAACCTGGACTTCCTCAACGTTGATTTGTCGTCGCTTTTTAGTCACGTTTCACGCTGGTCGAACTCTTTAGGAAGTGACAAAAACAGACCCATCCAATTTACCACCCCGAATCGGATATGTTATAAAGTATGGAAATTTACGACAGGGCTGAAAAAAGAACCCTCTAGGGAACGTGGACACATTTTCAGGAGGGATCAACCCTAAACACTGGAAAGGGCATTGTTTTTAGGGTTGATGCCCCCCCCCCCCAGAGTCGCATCCCTTTCCGATTGGGTTATATTTTTGGGTCAGATGGGGTGCATTATATTTTTCCAAAATATTGGGCGGCTTTCCGTTGTATGTAGGGTTGATCCATCCTGAAATTCATACAGGTTTGCTACAGGTTTTGTAGATTCTATTCAAGTGCTGTAATTATTTTTAGTGACTTCATACAGAAAACAACCAGAATAGACTAATACTATATCGCGAAACTGTGTGTCTGCTGGTAATTACACCTGAGAACCCGCACTGGAATAAATTGAGTACAGTATGTATGAAGTTGGCCGAAACCGCATTTCCAACTTGGATCAAGCGTACGGTCTGTTGTCTGAGCTCTGCTGGAGATTTTTCGTGCATACTCCGTGTCTTCTGAATTGAGACGCTATTCGCCAATCGGAAGCATTGGCTGACCAGTCTGTTCGGAAATTCCAACGGCGGATCATCCACCACACACAGGCAGCGCGACCTTGTGTGGGAAAAGACGGCTGATACGATACGTTCACTGTTTCTGAAGTCAGTTGTATTGAATAGTGAAATCAGGTCAACCGTTCCAAATTCCCTACTGTATATTTCTACCCTGAGCTATTTTTTTCACGAGTGGGAAGTCTGTTTCCGAATTCCCGTGTTTTGGACGTGTACTCGGTAGCTGGTGGAAAAGCAGCTACTTTTTGTACTGCCAGAAGTAGCTGCGCCAGATCGTTTGAGATTGTTTCGTATCTAATCAGCCGTCAGATCGTGATCTTCTGTATCGATCGCATTCAATTCAGCCCGCGTTCTTGGCGCGGTTGACCAAGAACAGCTGTCCATCCAACAGTACAAGTTAATGTACATTAACGGGGACGGAGAATGTTACAGATACAGACAGTCCTGGTCTGAATTACGGAAAAGTTTCGACTGAATTACAGATACACCTAGTGTAAAGGCTCTGTAATGTGATTTGTCTTCTCACCTAGTGTACTGTACTACAATTGCTGACGTGTCCCTCTTGTGTGGCGCGACTGACCAGGGGTGGTTGAGATGCTGTCAACATTGTTGCTCTGCCCGCGTGCAGCCACGCCGTGCAAGCAACCGGCGTGTGGCGAGAAAGTGGGTTCAGTGGAGTGACGTGTGAAACAAACGACCCTGGCCTCAACGCACCGCAAGTCACTACAGATGTTCTGGCTTAGAGGCCTTTCCTAAAAGAGTCCCGTTTCCCCAACGAGTAGATTTTTCACATAAGTCCTAGGTGTATCCCCTCATCTACAGTCCCATTTTTGGCAGGAAATCTTGCATCTTGACTGAATCATTGCACGAATCAGTTCCGCAGCCAATCAGAGGACGCAAATCGAACCTGTCAGAACATTTAGGGAAAACAGAATAAAAGGAAGTTTTGTTTCACTATTTACTTTTTGCAGTTGTGTTTGTCTGTTTATCTTGACCGCTATTGCGTCTAAATCCTGTCGCGCGGTTCTCCGCGAGCTCCGACAATGCCATCTCATTAGTCTCGCTTACAGTGTAACACAAAAAATGTTGTCCTTCATTTCGGCCTTAAACATAATTTATTTTGTATTTGTCTGCCCGTTTGTCCTGCGACACTGATCAACGCGGCAAACCGTGCGACGAGAAGTTGAAGACAGCGTAGTCCGAATGTACGTATGTGACAGAAAAAACACGAATAGTAGCGAAGGGAAATCGCTCTTCATGCAATTTTCCTTATACGGGACTATAAGTTCCCTTTTGCCCGGGGTTTGTGAGTTTTCCACAAAGGCCTGCAGCGCGTGTGTTTTTTACGGGGACTCTAATCGAGAACATTTGTAGTTCCCACCAGCAGAAAAATCTTTATGGTGACGACAGCTGAAGTCGGCCTTTCTTGTTTCTTCCTTGCCAGCTTGGACGCTAAAATACAGCATATGCTAGTTGTACAAATGTATGTGAGTTGAAGAGACAAATTCAGGCTACACAACATCTTCCCCAGTTCACGAGTTCCTCGCTCGTCGTGTACCTATCGGACGAACCAACAGACTCAGAACAGTAGAGTTGCAGTTCCACGAGTGTTGGGAAGATGTGAATGTTGGAGTTGGCTGGCTCAGTGTATGTAATCAGAAGCAAATCCTCCGATACCCCTGGTTTCCGCTAAATACTCGTTTCTGTAAGGGCCAAACCAGAAGTTTTATGTACTCTGTGGGTAATTGTAAATACGAGCTGTAACGACCTGTGATTTTTCGGATGAGCCGAAGTGGGGCCAGCTTCGTGTCATCCCCGGAAGACCGGAAGTTCGACACGAGCCAGGAACGGGCCCTAAGGATTTAGCTGGCATTTCAAGAAATGGGATTGCGACTGCTGGAGTTGCTCAGGGTGTGGGCCCAATCGAGTTTGATCGCAATTGATCTGATCGGGTCGGATCTGATCGGGTTGCTTGTGATCGCAGTGCCCGAGCCGCCCGATCAGAGATGTTTTTCGAGGAAGATTTCCAGCGCCTGCGGAGCAAGCGCTATACATTTACCTCGCAAATTCGTCCCCATTCTGGCGAATACGTCACCTGGCTAAAATTTTCGTCTCCCTGTGATTTAACAGTGTAACTACTCGCAAGCGTCGCTGTGGGCCCCGATCACATGCAATCAGGTGGTCGCCTGTGATAGAGGAAAATCGACTTCGATCGGGGTGAAAATCGGGTCTGATTGAGTTGGGGCGATCAGTTGATCGCGATCAGCTGATTGCCCCTGATTGCATAAAATTGGCTTCCAGGCTTTCCTAGAAATTGTTGATCGCATGTGATCGAGGCGATCAAACTCGATCGGGCCCACGCCCTCAGTTGCTGTGATCGCGGTGTGCATTTTCACTCGGTTTGGTTGGCTGAGGATGGTCCTCCCAAAAGCAGAAACCCCAGTCTGACGACGTTGGAAAATTGACCTGAAGTGAATGGTACTAGTGAAATAGAATTTCCATGGAGTGCACACTTTTGCACACTCTTGTCTTGCTCACTCTTTTCTTGCACTCTCTTCTGCCAACTTTACTCTGGACTTGAAATGCCGAATCATAATCTGATCCGTTGCTACTAGTAGTAGCGCCGCGAGCGCCGCTCGCCGCTGGTGATCGCCCGCCTCGAGGCGGATCTGATATCCCCTGGTAGTACTATAGCTGTCCGTAGCAGCTGCTGATGACGCCGCCGAAAGCCGCTCGAGGCACCGGTTGGAGCAAGCACGTCACCCCAAGTTGCTTGAAGGAGAAGCAGGCGGGGGAAGGGGAGGATGACACGACAGGGGGGGTTCCAGCCGCTGGTTGCTCTTCGGTGCTATTCCAGGGTATTTGACAATGAAGATTGGGTGCTTTCAGACTTTGCTAAGATTTTGCGGATCAAATAGCTCGATCCAGCTCCGTCCACATCCTCGTCCGTCGTCCATCTCGCGCCTCCCCCTCTTCTGCCGCCTGACCCCTTATCTCTCACCTAGGATCGCAACCAGGGGATGGTTAGGGATCTCATGGCTTCGTCACGCTGCTATGGTACTAGAAATCGCCGCGAAGCTGCTCTGCCGCTCACTCTCAGAAAACGCTGTTCCGACTTGCGAAGGGAGGCGTTTCATTTCACAACCCCCCTTCCATCCCCTCCTCTCCCTGCATTTCTCTTCTCCCCGCGCCTTCCACACCCTGGCTTTGGCCCAGTCTTAAATGGGGCGTTGTAGCAGGGTAGCACGCAGCACAGCACAGCGGATAAGCCCCTCCCTCTCACCCTTCGCTTCCCCAGCGATAGTAACAGGGCGTCCTTCTCCCGTCCCTCCCTCCCCATTCCATCCTTCCCATTCAACGGTCCCCTCTCTCTCCCATCCCTCTCCCATCCCTCCCCATCCCCTCCCAGCGCCCTTGTTCACGGTTCTGGTGGTCGTGTGGGTAGCATGCGGTGCAGTGATCGCGGCTTGGCTGCTGTGCAGTCGGCACAAGCAGTACGAGCACCACAGGGAGGAATCGCTGGGCGTGTGGTGCAAGGAGCGCGCCCTCATGCTGCAGCAGCTCGTGCTGGCCCACGCGGTGCAGATGCAGGTAAGATTGGACTGCTCACACGCAGTCTGGATTGGTATCAGCGTTCTTACCTGCAGCAGCATGGGAGCTGCCCTTTACTCTCCTCCTGCCCTTCCGCCCTCATGCTGCAGCAGCTCGTGCTTACACATGCGGGGCAGATGCAGGTAAGGCATGGGTGCTGCGCTTATGCTCTCATGCCCTCATGCATTCTTCGTTGTTACCAGCAGCATGTGTGTTCATGCATGCACACATGCCTCATGATGCAGCAGCTCGTGCTTACACATGCCGGGAAGACCCCGGTTAGGCTGGATTGGTGCCAGCGTTCATACCTGCAGCACGGATGCGTGCTGCTCTCATGATCTCATGCCCTTATGCTGCAGCAGCTCGTGCTGGCCCACGCGGTGCTGATGCAGGTTCGGTTAGCTCCAGAATACTTAAGTAAAAGATTCTCTTAAGCACTCACAGTTGTGGTGCTGGCCAGCTAGGACTGTGGTGGTGCTCAGAACAGCACCGCACAGCACCGCACCGCACAGTACAGCACAGCACAGCATAGCACAGCACCACACGGCACGGCACAACACAGCACATAACAGCACCGCACAGCACAGCACATAACAGCACCGCACAGCACAGCACAGCACAGCACAGCACAGCACAGCACCGCACAGCACAGCACAGCACTCACTGCTGTGGCATGAGCACAGAGGCTCTAACAGGCATCGTCCATCCATGCGTAAGCAATCCTGGGCAAACGCACGATAGGAGCAAGGCCTTTTTCTGTTCAGCCCTATGCTATTCACATCATCCAAATTTTGGATCCCAATCCCCTCCCGTTCTCCAGACTCTGGCAGGGCTGATTTCGGTGATGGGAACGCCAGGGCGGGCGAGCAAGTGGGACATGGGCGGGTGTTTGAGCGGCAGCATGTGGGTGTCTTATCTCACTCGCACCGCACAAACTCGCCCCGGAAACACGGGTGCGGTTGCGTGTGCGGTGGTGCACGATGCAGAGAGGTGAGAGGGGAGGGAGGACTGAGACTTCTCATCGTTACTGCGGTTACTGTGCGGTTGTGTGGGATGCAGTGAGGTGAGAGGGGAGGGAGGACTGAGACTTCTCATCGTTAATGCGGTTACTGTGCGGTTGTGTGGGATGCAGTGAGGTGAGAGGGGAGGGAGGTAGGAATGGTGGAGTGGTGCGTAGAAGGGGGGGGGATCGAGCGTGAGATCTTTGTGACCTATATCCTCCGGTTTTTAAGTTAACCCTATCCCAATCTGCACTGCACCAGACCTACCTACAGCAGTAACGCTACTCAAACATAAGGATTGTATGCGAGCGCAAAAAGGCTGACTGCATCAACACAAATGACAAGTTTCTTTTCTTTCTCGCCTCCCCTTGTTACATGATCCCTCCCACCCACCCACGCAGTTGCAGAGCGACTTCCGAGCGGCAGTATGGAAGCATCAGAGACAACACTCTGAACGTCAGCGCCCGCCGCCCCATGTACTGCCCCAAGAGTCTTGAGCTCACAACGCTCTTTGCCGCCCCCCCCCTTCCCATCCTCCCCTCCCCCTACTTCCACCCACATTGCTGCAGGGCGGACTTTGAGAAGCAGTACGGCAGCATCAGAGACAACACTCTGATCGTCAGCGCCCGCCGCCCCATCTACTGCGCCAAGGTCCTCGAGCTCACCACGCTATGGGCCACCAACGGCCCCAGCAACATCGACATGTTTCAGCGATTCTCCTGGGCCATCCCGCTCGTGGAGGCGGGAAAACACTTCTATACCTGGCCCTACCCCCTCGCCAACCCCCTCACCCATGCCGGATTCGGTGAGTGGGTGAGGGTGTGTATGCGTGTGAGGGAGCGAGTGAGTGATCGAGGGAGTGAGGGAGGGAATGAGGGAGGGAGTGAGTGCTATTTGATAAAGCATTACCTCTATTGGTGGAAAATCTTCTCTCATGCACGATTTAATGAGGCGTCTTGGTGAGGCGACTACCGCAGCAACTGAAAAGCAGTGATAAGGAAGAAAATCTGACCTCACTCGCTCCTATCGACCCCCTATTTACTATCCCGCTTGTTGCTCTCAATGTCATCTTTCCTCTCCGTCGCCTAAACTCAAACCACTAGAGACAGCCGCGCGCAGGGGTGTGCGTCTGTTCCGAATCACTCCTCTTTCCTATCCCGCTTGTTGCTGTCCACCCTGCCCCAGGTATCGTGGTTCCTATCCTCCGCAGCCCCCCCACTAACAACTCGAAAAAGTCAACAGCAGAGGCAGGAGCAGTGTACGGGTCACTCGCTGCATCTGTTGACGTGACATACATTGCACAGAAAGTCCTAGAAGAGCTGTACGCGCCTGGTGAGTCCCAGAGATGTATATGTGACCTGCTACTGCTGTGACCTGCTACTGCTGTTTTTGTGCTCACATCCGCTTCTTAGCATGGGTAGAAGTTTCTGGTTTCTTCCTTTGTGCTCCTCTTCTCATCCCCTCTTCTATCTCATCCTCGCACCCCTCCCCCATGCAGACCCATCCAAGTCCTTTGAGCTATACGACATCACCGACCCAGCCTCCCTCTTCGCCATCGTCTCTCCAGTCCCTCCCCACGCCTACTTCCGCCCAGACGACAAGCTCCCCTACATGCACCCCTCCCCAGAGTCCGAAACCCGCCCCTGGGAGCATCGAGCTGTGGTGCCTTTGGAGGAGATGGGAGCCGGCGTGAGGAAGTACGAGGTCTGGTGCCGGTGAGTGACTGGGTGAGTGAGTGGGTGAGTGACTGGGTGAGTGACTGGGTGAGTGACTGGGTGAGTGACTGGGTGAGTGACTGGGTGAGTGACTGGGTGAGTGACTGGGTGAGTGACTGGGTGAGTGACTGGGTGAGTGAGTGGGTGAGTGAGTGGGTGAGTGACTGGGTGAGTGAGTGGGTGAGTGAGTGGGTGAGTGACTGGGTGAGTGAGTGGGTGAGTGAGTGGGTGAGTGAGTGGGTGAGTGACTGGGTGAGTGACTGGGTGAGTGACTGGGTGAGTGACTGGGTGAGTGACTGGGTGAGTGAGTGGGTGAGTGAGTGGGTGAGTGACTGGGTGAGTGAGTGGGTGAGTGAGTGGGTGAGTGAGTGGGTGAGTGAGTGGGTGAGTGAGTGGGTGAGTGAGTGGGTGAGTGACTGGGTGAGTGACTGGGTGAGTGACTGGGTGAGTGACTGGGTGAGTGACTGGGTGAGTGACTGGGTGAGTGAGTGGGTGAGTGACTGGGTGAGTGAGTGGGTAAGTGAGTGGGTGAGTGACTGGTTGAGTGACTGGGTGAGTGAGTGGGTGAGTGAGTGGGTGAGTGAGTGAGTGAATGAGTGAGTGAGTGAGTGAGTGAGTGAGTGACTGACTGAGCCTTCTCCTGGGGCTGTGGTTGAGATTTTTGCGTGCTTTTTCCCGAGACTGCATGCTCGATAGCTTGAGACTCTTGAGAACACTATGTAGGATGACTTTTGAGTGACTCGAAAAATGCCTGGGTAGCTTGCATTGCGAATACAAGGTCTGGTGCTTGCATTGCACAAACTTGAAAGCATGGTGGGGTGGCCGAGTAAAGGCCTGGGGTAAATGGCGAGAAAACCCATCTTCTCCCTCTTTCGACACCCTCGCTTATGGGATATTCACAGTAAACATCCACAACCTTGCTGCTCATGCTCATCCTATGCATTTTTTCTCCCATCCAGGCACACACAACCTCCGAGCACATGGCAACAGAGGGGCATCCCCATCCTCATCGCTCACTTCCAGTGCCCCTCATAGTAAACACCATTTGTGATCGACCTTCTTGTGCCCCACCCTCCATCCAGGCACACACAGCCTCCCAACACATGGCAACAGAGGGGCATCCCGATCCTCATCGCCCTCTTCGAACTCCACTTCGTGCACAGTAGAAAATATATGGCATGCCCTCTTCCTGTTGCTCCGCCCCTTCCAGGCACACACAACCTCCGAACACATGGCAGCAGTGGGGCATCCCCATCCTCATCGCCCTCTTCGCCCTCCTCCTCGTGGTGCTCGTGCTGGCGGCCGCATGCCTGCAGCGGAGCAAGTTCCTGCAGACCCAGCAGCAGACGGCAGAGGCGGATAGGCTGAGACGGGAGGCAGATGAAGCAGAGGCGTCAAAGAGCATGTTTGTGGCGTGCATGTCCCATGAGCTGCGGACGCCCATGGTTGGGATTATTGGTAAGAGTTTGACGGTACACTGTTGCATTCCTCCTGTTTTTGAGTGTACCGCGCATGTCCCATGAGCTGCAGACGCCACCAGGCATGATTGACGCTCTGGCAGACGTGGGCCTACCTAACTCATCCCATCTCGCCGACCTGCTAATGGCCAGGGCATCAGCAAGAGATGCACTGCATCTGGTCAACTGTGTGTTTCTCTCAACTCCATACCTGCACCCTTCTGCTTCCCACCCACTCTGTCTCTCAATCCCACATCCCCCTTCCCCCACCAGGCATGCTCGATGCTCTGGCAGACATGGGCCTGAACGCCTCTCAGCTAGCAGACCTGCTAATGGCCGGGGCATCGGCCAAGGATGCACTGCATCTGGTCAACCGCGTGTTGGACCTGGCGAAGCTGGAGGCAGGCAAGGCGGTGGTGGATGAGACGGTGATTGATGTGAGGGAGTGGCTCCGTGCTGCTTTGGACTGGCACGCGGATGCAGCGAGTTCCAAAGGCATTGAATGTGAGTGGCTGATGATTGAATGTGTGTTGATGACTAATGAGGAGTGTTAGAAAGGGAATGCACTGCGCCCGCCAAGGGGTGGCCTTTATTGGTCAGGTAGAACGGCTAAACTCATGTAGAACGCGATGTGTTCGTGTCACAAGAACGTGTGTGGTCGAAACTCTTCCAACTCTTGCACAAGTAAATATTCTTTGGAGCTTATCAGCATTGTCTCTAGCGTTGTGTAACTTCTTGAGCTGTCGCAGGGGCGCCGCTGTCAGATTGTTCTTAACATGCCTTATGTGTCTCATTATGCCCAATGTACCATGCCATGCCCTCATTCTCACTTTCATACACTGGAAACTTCCACCCTAATTCCTCCCATGCAGTGAGCGCCATTGTGGGAGACGAGTGCCCCACGAATGTCATTGTGGACCCCATGCATCTCGGAAGCATGGTCAAGGAGATCACAGGTGGGCTCAAATTTGAGGGTGGGGTGTGTTGAAATAACTGGATACGCGATGTGTGCATGTAACGATAACTGCCCCTCGCATGTCATTGTGGAGCCCATGCACTTCAGCAACATGGCTAGGGAGCTCACAAAAATGTTATAGTAACAATAGACTCCAATGTGACTTCAGTGAAAGGCTGAGCGCGAAGACCGATCTCTGCAGCGGCTTCAACATGATAGTGTTCCGATCACAGTCCTAAATAATGCGTTATAACTTGAATTTGGAGGGTCTTAATGTTTTCTACAATTAGAAAGTTGAATCACCTTGATTCCATAAAGAAAAGATAGTGTGTTAGTAGTTTGAATGAACGGCAGTATGGCAGCGATTACAATCATAGAGCACAACCTTCGAAGAAATTTGGGCTGGAAATTACTCATAGCTTTTCAAACCACGAGAAAGGAAGGTCCAGGAAAATAGAGCAGCGTCACTCAAATTCACATACCACAAAGGCTCTAAGCCTTCACCATGAAATAATCCTGGAAATACTCCATGGAAGCTTGCTGCACACACGTGCGACACGCACTACATTTGATACCCGACAATTTAGAATACGCTCACGACTCACAAATGGCGACGTAACAAGCAATTAGCGAAGACTCGCTAACGTCTCAACACGCACGTTTGACTCGATCGTCATTCACACGCTCATGTAAGCATGCAGTATATGATGTTATACTCGTATATCATGTCATTCCATGCAAACATTCGCACACTCACGAAGACGACAAGGAGAGTGCAAACCATGAGGTTGCACCCCAAGGTACACTACGACTGATGAAGGGGAGATGGTGTTCAATGTGTGAAATATGTGAAGTGGGTGGGTTGTGTGACGGTAACTGCCTCACGCTTGTCATTGTGGACTAATGCATCTCGGCACCATGGTCAAGAAGATCACAGGTGCGCTCGCGGTTGAGAGTGGTGATGTGCGGTGGTGGGATGATATGTCGCGTCTGAACTCCATGCATCTCGGCACTATGGGCAAGGAGGCCACAGGTGAGCCCAAGGCTGAGGCTCTGCGTGAGTGGTGGGTGGGGTGATGGGGGCAAAAACCACCCCACGCATGCCATTGTGGACCCCTCGCATCTGGGCAGCATGGTCAAGGAGATCACTGGTGACCTGAAACCTGCTGCTTTATGAAGGATGACCCTCACGTGTTCCGCATCTGGTTACTTTACCACTTCCAGTTACCACTTCCGGTTACCAATTTCAGTTACCACTTCCTCGGTTGCGTTTCAGATAACGCGGTCAAGTTCACGACACAAGGCCGTGTGACAGTGCGGGTGTCGCTGGTGCCGCAAGGGACAAGCTTGCAAGACACCCTTTGTTACCAGGGTAAGGTTGTTGTGAGTGGTTGGCTGTAGCGTTGGTGGCGTTTCTTCATGCTCATGTTCAAGCTCATTCATGCTTGCTCGTGCTCATACACACTCTCTCTCATCAAATCACCTTGCCTTGGCCCCGTCAGTCTCTCATTCGTCAATCTCCCGCCTTCTCTTCCCCCACAGCTTTCCCTTCCCACCTCTCCACCCGCACTGCCTCCACCTCTCCACCCGCACTCACTTCTCCGCTCCACGGTTCTCCGTATATCCCAGGCCCTTCATTTTCGCGGCCCTCAAAGCCCGTCTTTCTCTCTCCACGCTTCCCTCGTCCACACCAGGCCTTTCCTCACCACGAGCGCCCACTGCTGCCACTGCCCATGGGCTCTCCGCCTGGCTTTGTTCTACCTGGCGCTGGTTGCTCGAGGTGGTGAGGGGAGAGCCAGCGGCATCAGCAGGAACAGCAGGCAGTGCCTGGGGGGAGGGCGGGCATGAGAGGAAGCATGGGAGTCAAGAGAGGAGACCCACTCCAAAAGCAGGCAGGGGGCGTGGGAGAGGGCATGGGAGTGGACAAGAGAGGGGTGGAGAGCGGTGCATGCTGGTGCTGTCGTGTCAAGACTCGGGCTGCGGCCTTCCAGCGTCTCTCCACACTGCGAGCGGCACTCAAGGGCCGTCCTACTTCTCCCTCCTCGTGAGCTTTCTACTTCTCTTTCCGACTCAACTCCATGACTCCATGTTGAGACTTGATCAGCGGCTACCCTCCCGTGCATGCTTTCTACTCCTCTTTCCTCCTCTCCCTTCCTCTCCCTTCTCCTCCCCTCCCCTCCCCTTCTTTCCACGCCCCTCCCTTTGCATGCTCTTCCTTCCCCTTTCCTCCTTTTCCCTCCCCTCCCCTTCCCTCCCCTTCCCCCCTCGTTTCCCTCGCTCACTCGTCTTCTCTCATGAGTTTCCTCACACAGCTCCCCACTCTCTCACATTGTCTTCTCACACGCCCCATCTCTTCCCACCCTGCTGGTCTGGAAATGTTTAGATTTGAACAAGAACACCACCATCCCTCACACGCCCATGTCTCACACGCCCATGTCTCACACGCCCATGTCTCACACGCCCATGTCTCACACGATCATCTCTCATCCGCCCATGTCTCACACGCCCATGTCTCACACGATCATCTCTCATCCGCCCATGTCTCACACGCCCATGTCTCACACGATCATCTCTCACACGCCCATGTCTCACACGCCCATCTCTCACACTCCCATCCCTCTCACGCCTGGTCGCCAACATTTTCGTTCTCACTCACTTGTCACCTCGCTGATTCCATCTCTGCTGTATTTACGCACCCAGGAATCACGGGAGCAAAGAGAAGAAAGGAGTGGGTCAGGGGCAGCACTGGGGCTTGTGTTGGTGCATCAAACGGTGAGTCCCTCAAACACCTGCTCATACTGTTCTATTCTTTCAGATTGGAATAACCATGATGTATACAAGGAAAAGTAGAAATTTTGTTATTTTTTCACTCCAATCAGCACGGATTGAGGATAATGATGCTGCTGCCGTTGCTCTCCTTGGCAGATGCTCGCTTTTCATCTCCCTCCTCCTTCCCACTCCCTCCAGGTGGCTCTATTGAAGGGAGAGCTCGCCTTTGACTCACAGCCCGGGTGTGGAAGCACAGTTGCTTTCTCTGTGCCTGTAGCCATGCCCTCGTTACAAGAACACTGTCCAGAGCAAGCGCAGTCAAGCAACCAGGAACCACAGCAGCAGCAAGAGAAGGATCAACCACGAGGGGAAGCCGTATGGCATGGTGAAGGGCAAATGGGCGGGTCAGGAGAATTTTCAGGTGCCTGCAGCAGTGGCCATGAGCATGACACGGAGTCAGGAGATTATTCAGGTGCCAGCAGCAGATGGCTGCTGATGCACAGCCAGGGGAGTGATCAGGTGACTCCACAAAACCAAGACCAGCAGCAGAACCAGCAAGAGCAGCAGCAGCAGCAGCAGCAGCAGCAGAAGCAAGAGCAGCAGAACCAACAACAGCAGCAGCAGAACCAGCAAGAGCAGCAGCAGGACCAGCAGAAGCAGCAAGGACAGCAGCAGCAGCAGGGAGTGAGATCCTTTCAGCGAGGCCGGAGCGAGGGCGAGAAATCAAGTGTGTGCACAAGTGCGCGTGGGGGTGGGAGTGTGAGTGCAAGGTGTGAGCGATCTATCTCCCTGTGCGCATCTGGAACCACCACCGTTGCTACCGCTGGCATGGCCATGCGTGCAGGCATAGGTGTTGGTGCTGGTGCAGGTAATCGTGCTGGTAGTGCTCGTCTTGGTGGTGCGGCGGATGAGGCGGTGACGCGGGCGTGGGTGGAGGGGCTGCGAGTGCTGGTGGTGGACGACACGCCCGTCAACCTCCTCGTGGCCCGCCGCTCCCTCGCCCGCTGGGGCGCCCAAGTCACCACCGCCTCTCGTGGGGAGCAAGCGCTAGACTTGATCACTGCTGGGGTGGCAGAGGGGAGAGGGCAGGAGGAGGGGAGAGGCGAACGTGCTGTCGGGGAGGTGGCAGGTGAAGAGCATGGGGCGAGAGGAGAGCAGGAGGCAAGAGGGCAGGAGGAGGCGCGTGCATCATTGCAGCATGGCTTCGACTTGGTTCTCATGGACCTGCAGATGCCGGGCATGGACGGGTGAGTGGTTGTGAGTGGTTGTGAATAGTGGGCATGGCTGTGTGAGTCATGAATGTGCGTACTAAACCTATTCCCAGTGCGAACCTGGTTCATAGCAAACTTGATTCCCCTCTGCTTGATGTACCTTTTGTTTCTTCCCCCTGTTCCTCCCTTCCTCCTGTTCCTCCCCTCCTGGTCCTCCCTTCCTCTGGTCCTCCCTTCCTCTGTTCATCCCTTTCCCCTGCCCTGTTACTCTTGCCGTGCCAGCTTCGCAGCAGCAGCAGCCATACGAGCCCTTGAAAGGAGAGTGGAGTTTGAATCAATTTCACGGGCACAGCAATCGCAGCAGCAGAGGCCGCAGCACACCCCTTCTGATCTGCCCGTCCCACCCCTAGAATCTTCGAACCCTGCTGCTGCTGCTGGTGCTGCTGCAACTGCTAATGTTGCTGCTGCTGCTGCTGCTGCTGGAGTTGCTGCTGCTTCTCCTGGTGGTGCCCAGCCCGTGTCTCTGCGGGTGCCCATAGTGGCTCTGACGGCAGACGTGGATCGCGGAGTGGTGCAGAGGTGTGCAGAGGGGGGGTTTGACGGTGTGCTGCAGAAGCCAGTGGATGCCCACCTGCTCGCCGCCCACCTCTCCCAAATGCACACCCAAAGCGCACTCCTGCGGGCTGTGTCACAGCCCACTGTTGGTCCAGCTATGAACAGATATGACAGCTGCAGCAGCCAGTGACCAAGCAGTCAATAACGGTTGAGACAGCTCATAACAAATACTACCTGATGGCTGCTGACGCCCACCCTAAACCTTAAACCCGAAACCCTAAACCCGTTCCCAGAGATCACTACTGCGGGTCCTGTCGCACTCCACTGTCAGTCACGCCACAAACAGATACAGATACGACAGATGCAGCAGCAGCGAATTCTTGTACGGCTTAAAACTCACTTAAGCGGGCTGCTTTTCAGCCCACAGCCAGCCAAGCTACTGACAGATCCTACCACTGGTGGGGAGGGTTATGGAGAGCGTTTGTAAGATCTAAGAGAGCTCACAAGTTCGCAACACCGTCCGGTTGTTTCACTATGCCGACGACCACTCCCACCCACCTCTTGACACGTTCGGCACGTGCAGTGCAGCAGCTAATGACCCAGCAGCATTCAACTCATTGAACAACATATACAAATAAAACGCTCGGGTTGTTTCACTACCGTATGTCTGACGACTGCCCCAACCCCTGACACATACGGCACGTGCAGCAGCCAGGGTTGGTATGGACGCCACAAGACTTGGTCAGGTGGCTTCACTGTACCTGATGACCACTGAAACCACTGACAAAAACCCAGGCATGCCAAATCCTGCTGCTACTGCACTGACTGATCATGTGGTGGCCCCAGCTAGACAGATTGTGCTACCTGCATCTCTTTCATGGTTTGTAATCAATGGTCTTAACCGACGTGCTGTCTGCATGGTTTAGCACACCGAACAAATGCTATACGTGAGCCTAGCGCTGTGCTAGACACTTACTGTACTGCCTGGATCTTGTTGGTCCTGTGCTGGACGCTGTTTAGCCTGAACTTGTGACCAAACTAGTCAGGTGAATTTCATGGATTTGTCATTTTCCGTACCGATAACTCCCTGTGTATGCCACCCCTCCCCAATTGAACACAAGCTGATGGCTTTTGTGGATCTGGGTGCTAAAATTATTCAGCAAATGTTGACTGAGGTTAAACCGGCACATCGATTCTAAGTTATCCTACAAGTTGGCTAGTGAAAGCATTCCATAGAAATCTAAACTGCAATCAACACCAGTGTGCATCAATCCTGCTGTGCGTGCAATGCAAGTGCTCCACCTCGTCATCCTCTTGTTGGGGCCTAGGGCTTTACCATACATCATCATCGCATACGCATGCTCATACAATACCCACCAGTCCTCCTCACCAGCCGCATCTGCGCCATGACCTGCTGCTGCATCATTCGTGGCGAATGTATGCATCCTCCTCCCTGTCAAAATGAACTCCACCGTGAGCATTTATTGTCATCCTCTCCACTCGCGCCTTCAGTTGCTGCCTTGTAGAACGCATTCACTTCAGCTTCCGCCACGAAGGACATTCTCCATGAACTTAACCTCTGCCTCGTCAGCTGCTTTCAGCCGGCCAGTTGGGTCACCTCGCCACCACCTGTTCAGCCAGCGCCATGCCTGCAGGGCCTGGCATGTCTATGGTACCAGTCAGCAGTCAGTTCAGGGTTACAGTAGGGTTACGTATCTGTTGTAAGGCACATGGAAGCATTTTGAGAGGGCTTCGAGCCGTGCAAACATCACAGGCTGCTTCACGTGCCATGTGTGTCAGTAGTGGGAGTGTGGGAGTGGTCATGGGGTGTAATGAAACAACCTGAGTGGATCTTTGAGTCGACTCAATAAACATCACCGGCAGCTGCATGTGCCGTGTGTGTCAGTAGTGGGAGTGTGGGAGTGGTCAGGGGATGTAATGAAACAACCTGAGTGGATCTTTGAGTCGACTCGATAAGCATCACCGGCAGCTGCATGTGCCGTGTGTCAGTAGTGGGAGTGTGGGAGTGGTTTGGGGATGTGGTCGAACAACCCGAGTGGATTATTAAGTCGACTCTAAAACATCACTGGCTGCTTCACGTGCCGTATGTGTGTGTCAGAGTGGGAGTGTGGGAGTGTGGGACTGCTGTGAAGATGTAGTAGTGAAACAACCCAAGTGTTCTGTGAGCTTTCTTGAATACTATCGACTGCCAGATTACTGACTGCCGGATTACTGGCTGCCGGATTACTGACTGCCAGATTACTGATTGCCGGATTATCGACTGCTGAATTACTGACTGCCGGATTATTGACTGCCAGGATACTGACTGCCGGATTATTGACTGCCGGATTACTGACTGCCGGAATACTGACTGCCGGATTATTGACTGCCGGATTACTGACTGCCGGATTACTGACTGCCGGATTATTGACTGCCGGATTACTGACTGCCGGATTACTGACTGCCGGATTACTGACTGCCGGATTATCGTCTGCCGGATTACTGACTGCCAGATTATTGGCCGCCGGATTATTGACCGCCGGATTATTGACTGCCGGATTGTTTGATTGCCAGATATTGACTGCCGGATTATTGACTGCCGGGTTACTGACTGCCGGATTATTGACTGCCGGGTTACTGACTGCTGCACCTGTCGTGTCTGCTTATGGTTCGACTGACAGTCGGGTGTGACACGGCCCGGGGGAAGGACCTTTGGAACTGCATTTGGGAGAGGTGGCTTTTGAGTCAACGCTTTCAAATATTATTGACTGCTGCACCTGTCGTGCCTGTTTATGGTTCGACTGACAGTGGGGTGTGACACGGCCCGCGGGAAGGACCTCTGGGTGTGCATGTGGGAGAGGTGGGCGGCTAGCAGGTGGGCATCCACTGGCTTCTGCAGCACAGCGTCAAACCCCCCCTCTGCACACCTCTGCACCACTCCGCGATCCACGTCTGCCGTCAGAGCCACTATGGGCACCCGCAGAGACACGGGCCACCCAGCAGCAGCAGCAGCAGCAGCAGCAGCAGCAGCAGCAGCAGCAGCAGCAGCAGCAGCAGCAGCAGCAGCAGCAGCAGCAGCAGGAGCAGTTGCAGATGGCACTATGGGCACCCGCAGAGTCATGGGCCAGCCAACAGTGGCAGCAGCAGGATTTGAAGCTTCTAGGAGAGGGACGGGCAGAGCAGAAGGGGTTTGATGATGCCTCGGCTGCTGCAATTGCTGTGCCCGTGAAATGGCTTCATACTTGACCCTCCTTTCAAGGGATCGTATGGCTGCTGCTGCTGCGAAGCTGGAGGGGAGGCATGGAGGGGAGGAACAGGAAAGACATCAAGGGAGGAGGATTAGGTTCAATGCCCCACCCTCCTCTCAAGGGATCATATGGCTGCTGCGTTGAAGCTGCCACGGCAAGGAGGCAGCAGGAACCGAATGGAGGAAGCAGGAACGGAATGGAAGGGAGGAACAGGAGGAAGAGAGGAGCACAAGGGACAATAAGGGGAGGGGGATTAGGCTTGCAACAGACCAGGTTCACATAGGGAAAGTGTTAAGTACTCACGTTCATGAGTCACCAACATTCACAACCCACCCATCCATGCCCACCACTCACCACCACTCACAACCACTCACCCGTCCATGCCCGGCATCTGCAGGTCCATGAGAACCAAGTCGAAGCCATGCTGCAATGATGCACCCGTCTCCTCCTGCCCTTTTGCCTCCTCCTCCCCTCTCGCCTCCTCCTGCCTCCTCGCCTCCTGCTGCCCTCTCGCCTCCTGCAGCCCTCTCCCCTCCTCCCCAAGTGTTTCCTCCCCTCTCTCCTCCTCCTTGTGGGCAGCGGTGGAGATGAGGTCAGCAGTGATCAACTCAATCGCCTCCTCCCCGTGGGCGGCAGTGGTGACCCGGGCGCCCCAGCGGGCGAGGGAGCTCTCCTGCAAGCCAGCAGCGATGAGGTCAACGGCCTGCTGGCCATGGGAAGCAGTGGTGACTCGGGCACCCCAGCGGGCGAGGGAGCGGCGGGCCACGAGGAGGTTGACGGGCGTGTCGTCCACCACCAGCACTCGCAGCCCGCCCACCCACGCCCGCGTCACCGCCTCATCCGCCGCACCACCAGCAGCAGAAGCACCAGCACCAGCTGCACCTACGCCTGCATGTATGCCCATGCGAGCAGCAATCGTGGTGATTGCAGATGCACACAGTGAGACCGACTGCTCGTACCTCACACTCACACTACCACTACCACCCACACTCACACTGACACTCGATTTCTCGCTCTCTCTCTGGCCTTCCTGAAAGGGTCTCACTCCCTGTTTCTGCTGTTGGTTCTGTAGTTGGCTCTGGTTTTGTTGAGCCACCTGATCGCTCTCCAGGCTGTGCTGCTGCAGGCATCTGCTACTGGAATCTGAACAATCTCCTGAATCTGTCTCATGCTCATGGAAACTGCTGGAGGCACCTGAAAAATTACCTGACCCACTCATTTGCCTCTCACCATGCCATATGGCCTTCCCCTGATGCTGCTGCTTCTGCTGCTGCTGCTGCTGCTGCTCATGCTGCTGTGGTTCCTGATTGCTTGACTTCGGCTCTTTTGCACAGTGTTCTTGTAACGAGGGCACGGCTACAGGCACAGAGAAAGCAACTGTGCTGCCACACCCGGGCTGTGAGTCAAAGGCGAGCTCTCCCTTCAATAGAGTCACCTGGGGGTGAGTGGGGAGGAGGAGGGAGATGAAAAAGCGTGCTATTGTAATTTATGTAGATAGGAGCCAGAGCTCGGATTGTGAAGCAGCCGCTGTGGCAGCAGCAGCAGCAGCGTCGGCGACAGCGGCAGCAGCAGCAACTCGGAGTCGGTAATACACTGAGAATGAGGAATGAAGAGGTGTTGGAGGGACTCACCGTTTGCTGCACCAACACGAGCCTGAGGCCTGCCCCTGACCCACTCCTTGCTCCCCTCTAGTTTTGGGACATCGCAAAACTCGGAAACGGCAACACAGTGAAACGAATAAGGATGTCTGATGCACTCACCGTTTGGTGCACCAACACGAGCCCAAGGGCTGCCCCTGACCCAATCCTCTCTTCCCTTTGCTCCCGCGATTCCTGGAAGAGTCAAGAAAACAAAATAGGATTGGAGGTGTGAAAGAGCGTGAGAATGACACTTGTTGAACATTACACTTGTGAGAGATGGGTGAGATGGACGAGCAGGGTGGGAAGAGATGGAACGTGTGAGAAAAGAGTGTGAGAGTGTGGGGGAATGTGTGAGGGAAAGCATGAGAGACAAGGAACAAGAGAGGGAGCTGGACGGGGGGAAGGGAAGGGAAGATTCGGAGGGAAGGGAAGGGAAAAAAGGCGGAGGATAGGGGAGGGGAGGGGAGGGGACGGAAGGGGAAGAGTGGGAAGATGCTTCTGGAAGGAGGGAGGAAGGGAGGGAGGGTGGGAGATGGAGACGACAAAGGGGAGAAGGGGGGGAGGAGGAGATGGAGCGGCAGGTGGGGTTCCCGCAGAGGAGGCAATGTGACAACACGAGAGAGAATAAAGGATGAAGAATTCCATGAGATGCTGCCCGTGAGATGAAGAACCAATGAGATGATGCCTTTCACCGGCTGATGGCTTGTAAAGCAACACTGGAAGCCCGGAAAGGCAGCACTGTAGAGTCCCACCACGCCAAGCGGACCCAGCAGCTGCCAGCAGGGACGCTGGAAGAAGAACAAGGCTCACCAGCAGGGAGAAGCAGGAAGGCCCGCAGCTGCCACTCGCTGTGACTCAAAAGTCAAAAGTCACCTTTTGAGTCGACTCAAATGCCAGCAGGGACGCTGGAAGAAGAACGAGGCTCACGAGCAGGGAGAAGTAGGAAGGCCCGCAGCTGCCACTCGCTGTGTGGAGAGACGCTGGAAGGCCACAGCCCGAGTCTAAACACGGGGATTTGAGACGGAAAGAAAAGTCTAAAGCTCAGCATCAGGAGAAAAAACCAAACAAGGCTCACCAGGAGCGAGAAGTAAGAAGGCCCTTCACTGCCACTTGCAGCGTAAAGAGGAGCTGGAAGGCCAGCGCCTGAGTCTTGGCACCGTGAGCTGAGTGGGGCTGAGTGGAGGGAGAAGTCAAAACCTCACCAGCAGGGAGACAAGCAGACGAGGCTCGCCAGGAGGGAGAAGTAGGAAGGCCCTTGAGTGCCACTCGCTGTGCGGAGAGAGGCAGGGAGGTCAGCGTGAGTCAGAGAGCGAAGTAGAAAGCTCACCAGCAGAGAGAAATATGAAGGCCCTTCACTGCCACTCGCTGTGTGGAGAGACGCTGGAAGGCCGCAGCCCGAGTCTTGGCACGACACCACCAGCATGCACCGCTCTCCATCCCTCTCTTGCCCACTCCTATGCTCTCTCCCATGCCCTCTCCCACGCCCCCTGTCTGGTTTCCAAGTGTGTCTCTTGTCTTGACTCCCATGCCTTCTCTCATGCCACCCCTCCCTTTTTTTACTGCCTGCTGCGCTTGCTGCTGTTGCTCCTGCTGCTCCTGCTGCTGCTGGTGCTGGTTGTGGCGGTGGTGGTGCTGTTGCTGCTGCTGCTGGCGCCCCTTCCCCATTCACTTTCTCACCACCTGCTGTTCCTACTGCTTTCGCCCCCGCCCCCTTCACTGCCTCACCGCCTGTTTCTCCTACTGCTGTCCCACCCGCCCCCTTCACTGCCTCACCGCCTGCTTCTCCTACTGCTTGCGCTCCCTTAACCCCCTTCACTGCCTCACAGCCTGCTGCTCCTACTGCTAGCGTTCCCTTAACCCCCTCAAGCAGGCAGCGCCATCTAGGGCTGAGCCGCCTGCACGCCCCGTGGAGAGCTGACGGGGTGTGTGCTTCTGGGATGGCTGAGGACAGGCCTGGGGTGGATGGGGAAAACGTGGAGAGATGACGTATGTGTTTTAGGCGCTTTGCGGAAAAGTCTAGGTGGACGGGAGTGGGCAGTTTTGGGAGCGTGTGGTGTGGTTGAGAGAAGGCGTGGGAGTTGTGAGAAACGTGGAACGGATGTGTGCTTCTAGGATGGCTTTGGTCAGGCCTGGGGTGGAAGGGGAAACCGTGGCGAGAGGAAGTATCCTTTTGAGGTGCTTCGTGAAAAGAGTCAAGGTGGATGGGAGTGGGCAGTTTTGGGAGCGTGTGGTGTGGTTGAGAGAAGGCGTGGGAGTCGTGAGAAGTGTGGAAGGAGAGCGGAGGGGGGTAAAGGGGGTGGAGAGGGGGTGGGGGACGGTGTGCAGGAAATGAGGGTGTTAGAGCGAAGAATCAAGGAGTGCCGTAAATAGGCGCTCTACCCTAAACCATCTTGAATTTGTGTGAACCAGTATCAACCAATGAACAAGCAGGATTAATCGCAAAAGCTACATTCAGCCACTGACAGCCAAGCTTACCCTGGCAACAAAGGGTGTCTTGCAAGCTTGTTCCTTGTGGCACCACAGACACCTGCACTGTCACGTGGCCTTGTGTCGTGAACTTCACAGCGTTTTCTGAAACGAAACCAAGGAAAGTAACCAGAAGTTGCAAACGGTCGTTACCACCATCACACACATCACCATCACACACATCACCATCCCAACCCCACACACCATCACACACATCACCATCCCAACCCCACACACCATCACACACATCACCATCACACGATTAGTTAATACTTCTCCTTGTATCCTACATTCACCCTATAAACTTGGGTAGAGATAGGCACCCAAACTAAGTTTGGGTGCACAACTAAGGTTAACCCTAACTCCGGGGTTGGGAACCCAACCATGGCCCAAAGGTTTGACCCCCAGGGTTGGGTCGGGAGATAATTGGACTCCCAATAAGTTCGGCCCAGCTGTGGCGAACATTTTTAGGACCCCCCAATAATTCTCCAACCCAACTTATTGGTGGGGTAAAAAATGTAGGTCACGAACACCCTTGCTCAACCTCTATGTATACCCTTCCATACGTTGCTCCAATCATCGGTTCTTCTTACATACTCATGTTTTCTAGCACACACATCATCATCCCACCACCACCCACCCACGTCTCAACCCAAGGCGCACCTGTGATCTCCTTGAGCGCATTGCTGAGATGCAAGGGGTCCACAATGACATGCACCGGGCAGTCGTCGCACACACTGCCACTCACTGCATAGGGAGGACGGAGAATGGAAGTTTTCAGCACAACATTGCGGGAATGAGGCCGAGGTACGGAGCGCAAAGTGATTGTTGAGGCACATAAGAAGTCGCTTCATTACACGAGAATGATGCGAGGTACATTGGGCAAACTGATGCCACTGGAATGAGACACACAATACAAAAAGCAATGGGACATACTATATTAAGAGCAATGAGACACACTATATTTAGAACAATGAGACATGCTATATCAAGAGCAATGAGACAAATTGAGACACACAACATATGAAGAACACACACAGTATTAGAAACATTGAGACACACAACATAAAAAACAATGAGACACGCTATATTAAGAGCAATGAGACACACTATATCAAGAACAATGAGACACATTGAGACACACACTATATGAAGAACACACACAATATTAGAAACATTGAGACACACAACAATATAAAAAACAATGAGACACACGCTTGCCAGTCAAAGGCGGCATGAGGCCACTTGCGCACATCAATCATCGTCTCATTCCGCGTGCATACTGGCATGAGGTGAGGACGACCCTCCTGATGCTGGCATGAGGTGAGGACGACCCTCTGATGCTGGCATGAGGTGAGGACGACCCTCTGATGCTGGCATGAGGTGAGGACGACCCTCTGATGCTGGCATGAGGTGAGGACGACCCTCTGATGCTGGCATGAGGTGAGGACGACCCTCTGATGCTGGCATGAGGTGAGGACGACCCTCTGATGCTGGCATGAGGTGAGGACGACCCTCTGATGCTGGCATGAGGTGAGGACGACCCTCTGATGCTGGCATGAGGTGAGGACGACCCTCTGATGCTGGCATGAGGTGAGGACGACCCTCTGATGCTGGCATGAGGTGAGGCCGACCCTCTGATGCTGGCATGAGGTGAGGCCGACCCTCTGATGCTGGCATGAGGTGAGGCCGACCCTCTGATGCTGGCATGAGGTGAGGACGACCCTCTGATGCTGGCATGAGGTGAGGCCGACCCTCTGATGCTGGCATGAGGTGAGGCCGACCCTCTGGTGCACTCACATTTGACCCGTTTGGAGCGAGCCGCCTCCACATGCCAATCTAATGCGCCACGAAGCCACTGACGCACATCAACCGCCGTCTCATCCACCACCGCCTTGCCTGCCTCCAGTTTGACCACATGCAGTGCACCCCTCTTCATTCACCCAGCAACTCACATTCAATGCCTTTGGAGCGTGCTGCCTCCACGTGCCAGTGCAACGCAGCATCAAGCCACTCCCGCACGTCAATCACCGTCTCATCCGCCACCGCCTTGCCTGCCTCCAGCTTCGCCATGTCCAACACGCGGTTGACCAGATGCAGTGTTTTCTTTGCTGACGCTGTGGCCAATAGCAGGTCTTCTAGCTGGGAGGAGTCCAGGCCCATGTCTGCTAGAGCATCGAGCATGCCTGATGGGAGGGAAGAGCGATGTGGGCAGCAGAAGCGTGAGTGCATGGGGCCATGAAGTCATATGAAACACCAAGTTGAGCGGATGCAGTGCATCCTTGGATGACAGTCCGACCATTAGCAGGTCCGGCAGTTGGAGCGGTCCAATGGAGGAAACCGAGAGAGACACAGGAGAGAGTGTGGGCTGAGAGCTTGTCCACGCCAGAGGCGCGGACGTAAGCAAGTGCAGCCTCAGACACGAAACGCAGCCTCAACACCAGGAAACTCAGTCCAAAGAAGGGACTGCGTAACTTGGGGGTGTGAAACACGAGACCACAGGTTAAGCTGGTGCTTGGCATAGCGGAATGAAAAATGTCATAGATAATGGGGGCCGCTGGCATGACACATGAATGTAGGAGCAATCTCTGCGACCAAGCCAATGCGGCACTCAGCGACCCCATTCTGTTGCAATGAGGGGGGTACTATCCATATGTGCTAGAGCGAGAGGGAGGGAGGGAGGGAGGGAGGGAGGGAGGGAGGGAGGGAGGGAGGGAGGGAGGGAGGGAGGGAGGGAGGGAGGGAGGGAGGGAGGGAGGGAGGGAGGGAGGGAAGGAGGGGAGGAGGGAGGGGGGGCCATTAGCAAGTCTGCCAGCAGGAGGAAGCCCGTGCCTGTTAGAGCGTTTGAAAAGGGATGTGGTGGGAGAGAGGGAGCAGGTAGGGTGCAGAGGGGATAACAGGAATGCAATACCTACCTATGATTCCAACCATGGGCGCCCGCAGCTCATGAGACATGCACGCTACAAACATGCTCTTCGATGCCTCTGCTTCATCTGCCTCCCGTCTCAGCCTATCAGCTTCCGCCATCTGCTGCTGGGTCTGCAGGAACTTAGCACGCTGCAGACATGCCGCCAGCAGCACGAGCAACACGAGGAGGAGGGCGAAGAGGGCGATGAGGATGGGGATGCCCCACGATTGCCACGTGCTGGGGGGCTGTGTGTGCCTGGATGGGGTAACAGTCGCATGGGAGGATAGAAGCACGTGTGGAAGCTGAGTGTGCAGTGAATCAACGAGAATTGTGACGTGGGCGGCAGTGAATCTCCCAGTCAGCGAGCAGCGAGTGCCTTGATCGACGATCCCAGTCGACAAAAGTAATCATCCGCAGCAAGCCAACCAACGAGATGAACGACTTCGGCGGCGATGACCGAGTGGCGTCTTTCTGGTCGACCAAATTACTGGTTGTCAGTATTCTGCTTGTGTGCAAATTTCGCCCCAGGAGGTTTTGGCAAATGTCTTCTTGTGGAAACCTTGCACCTCCGCAATGTGCATCATGTGCTGTGCACAGCGTGCACGTAACTGTTTGTTGAGCAAGCCTGCACCTACTTGACATATGACTTGCATGTGCATGGTTCACCTGCCATTGCTGTGTTGGCAAGCCACCCTCGGTGGGTGCGACGCCAACATTGTGCAAGGTGGCCGTGTTACTTGGTATATTGGTCCATGCCTTCCATGGCATCATATATTACTTTCCTGTTCTAGTGTTAAACTATGGTTGACTTTTCAAACGGGCACAGCGAGCACGCGCGAACCTACACAAACGCTAAGATACCCGTACGCCTCTCACGTAGTCTACTCCCGTTGTTGGTCAACTCTTCGCATGCATGCCATGCAGGGGCGTAGGATGAGTGTAAGGGGGGCAATGGGGAGACTCTTGAAGATGTCAAGTTACATAATGATTACCAGCTCTAAGCTCAAGAGGTGACTTTCGACAGCCAAACACTTCACACTCTCTGGACCAATCACATGATCACTAGAAAGCTCACCTGCTGTCGTATGGCGTACCATAAATATCCCCAGTCTCACCTGCACCAGACCTCGTACTTTCTCACACCTGCTCCCATCTCTAGAGGCACCACCACGGCTCGATGCTCCCAGGGGCGGGTTTCAGAGTCCGGACAGGGGTGCATGGGGTGGAGCGAGAGCGCGAGCAAGAGAGCCCTAGAGAAAGGTTCTAGAAGGCTTACTCACCTGCGATTTTTGAGGCGCCTCAAAAAAGGTTCTAGAAGGCTTACTCACCTGCGATTTTTGAGGCGCCTCAAAAAAGGTTCTAGAAGGCTTACTCACCTGCGATTTTTTAGGCGCCTCAAAAAAGGTTCTAGAAGGCTTACTCACCTGCGATTTTTGAGGCGCCTCAAAAAAGGTTCTAGAAGGCTTACTCACCTGCACCAGACCTCATATCTGCGCACGCCGGCTCCCATCTCAATTAGAGGCACCACGGCTCGATGCTCCCAGGGGCGGGTTTCAGAGTTGGGAGAGGGGTGCATGTAGGGGAGCTTGTCGTCGGGGCGGAAGTAGGCGTGTGGGGGGACTGGTGAGACGATGGCGAAGAGCGAGGCTGGGTCGGTGATGTCGTATAGCTCAAAGGACTTGGATGGGTCTGGATGGGAGGAAGAGAAGAGGGGAGGGGGGGATGGGGGGAAAAGAGGAGAGGGGGAGGAAGAAAAGGGAAAGAGGAGGGGAGAGATTAAGAAGAGCACAATGCAAACATCAAGATGTCTTCAAGATGTCAAGTAATTATGACAACAACGGGCATCAATAGGTTATACAGCTCTGCACTCACCAGCTTCATATAGCTCCTCTAGGACCTTCTGTGCGATGTAAGTCACATCAAAAGATGCAGCCAGTGACCCGTACACTGGTCCCTTTGCTGATTGGCTTGAGTGGTTAGTGGGAAGGCTGCGGCAGAGAGGAAAGGCGACACCTGTGGTGGGGTCGGGAGAAACGAGAGAGATTGGATGAAGATTTCTTATCACGAATTGCCACTATTGATAAAAGTAAAATTGCTGGAAGAGGTACACGTTGGAAGAGGTAGCCACTGGGAGAGGTAGACACTGGGAGAGGTAGACACTGGGAGAGGTAGCCACTGGGAGAGGTAGACACTGGGAGAGGTAGCCACTGGGAGAGGTAGCCACTGGGAGAGGTAGCCACTGGGAGAGGTAGCCACTGGGAGAGGTAGACACTGGGAGAGGTAGCCACTGGGAGAGGTAGCCACTGGGAGAGGTAGCCACTGGGAGAGGTAGCCACTGGGAGAGGTAGCCACTGGGAGAGGTAGCCACTGGGAGAGGTAGCCACTGGGAGAGGTAGCCACTGGAAGAGGTAGCCACTGGAAGAGGTAGACGCTGCTTGGGCCATTGTGAGTTCGGTGCGTTTGAGAGAGCAGCAGGTCACACCACTGCCAAGGCTATGCTACCATGGCCTTTCTCACTCACTCCCTCACTCACTCCCTCACTCAATCCCTCACTCACTCAACCACTCCCTCACTCCTTCGCTCCCTCACTCACTCACTCACTCACTCACTCAATCACTCACTCACCGAATCCGGCATGAGTGAGTGGATTGGCGAGGGCGTAGGGCCAGGAGTAGAAGTGCCGGCCTTCTAGCACGAGCGGGATCAGAGAGTAGTATCTTTGGAACATGTCGATGTTGCTGGGGCCGTTGGTGGCATAGAGCGTTGTGAGCTCTAGAATCTTCGGGCAGTAGATGGGGCGGCGTGCGCTGACGATCAGCGTGTTGTCTCTGATGCTGCCGTACTGCTTTTCAAAGGCCGGCCTGCAGCGACATGCGTGAGTGGGAGGGGTCAGGTGAGAAGGGAAAGGCGTAGAGCGTTGTGAGCTCGAGGACCTCGGGGCAGTAGATGGGGCGGCGGGCGCTGACGATCAAAGTGTTGTCTCTGATGCTGCCGTACTGCTGCTCAAACGAGTCCCTGCATATAATGTGTGTGCGGTATATATATATTTTTATATATATTTATATAAATATATGTATATATGTATATATGTATATATGTATATATATATGAAGAGCAAAAAACAAACAAACAAAACCGAAAGCACAATGGCATGAGGCCACGGCCACTCAACCACACTTAACTCCCTCCGCCTTCACCTCTCTCCACACTTCCACTCCCATCTCGCTCACCTCTCTGCATCGCGCACCAGCGCACACGCGACCGCACCAGTGTTCCCCGGGCGAGTTGGTGCGGTGCGAGTGAGATAAGACACCCACATGCTGCCGTTCAAACACCTGCCCATGCCCCACTTGCTCCCTTGCCCCGGTTTGCCCATCACAGAAATCACACCTGAAAGAGTCTGACGAATGGGAGGGAACGGGTTCAATTCACTAGATTCAGTGAAGAATGAAGAGCGGAGACTGATATTTAATTACCCACCCATGTCCCACTTGCCCACCCACCCATGTCCCACTTGCCCACCCGCCCATGTCCCACTTGCCCACCCGCCCATGTCCCACTTGCCCACCCGCCCATGTCCCACTTGCCCACCCGCCCTGGCTTGCCCACCACAGGAATCAGCCCTGAGACTGCGGAATGGGAGGGAAGTGGGACCAAATGTCGGAAACAGCGGAAACTCCTTCTATCGTTCAAACACCTGCCCATGTCCCACTTGCCCGGCCCACACGCATCTGGCCAGCATGGCCCAGCACGAACCAGCATGGGCCAGCACGAACCAGCATGGGCCAGCACGAACCAGCATGGCCCAGCACGAACCAGCATGGGCCAGCACGAACCAGCATGGGCCAGCACGAACAGGCATGAGATGATGAGGGCATGAGATGGGGCATGCGGACAAGCGAGCATGAGAACATGGGCATGAGGGCATGAGGGCATGAGGGCATGAGCGCATGAGGGCATGAGCGCATGAGGGCATGAGCGCATGAGGGCATGAGGGCATGAGCGCATGAGGGCAAGAGAGCATCAGGGCATGAGAGCATGAGGGCATGAGGGCATGAGAGCATGAGGGCATGAGAGCATGAGGGCATGAGCGCATGAGCGCATGAACGCATGAGGGCATGAGGGCATGAGAGCATGAGTGCATGAGCGCATGAGGGCATGAGAGCAGCACACCAACACAGCTCACCTGCATCTGACCAGCATGGGTGAGCAGGACCGCTCCAACCTCACTTGCATGAGGCGATGTAGAATACTCTATATCGCGGTTCCCCACTGCTGCTGCTTCCCCTGCCAACCGCCGCTGCCACTCTCTGGCGATGAAAAATACTCTACATGAGCAGGGCCACTCCAACCTCACTTGCAAGAGGGTATGAGAGCATGCGGGCAGCACCCATACACCAGGTAAGAATGCTGACAAAAAACCACCCAGCCTTACCTAGGTTCGGCATCAACCCACTCCAACCTCACCTGCATCTGCCCAGCATGGGCCAGCACGAGCTGCTGCAACGTGAGGGCGCGCTCCTTGCACCACACTCCCAGCGCCTCCTCCCTTTGATCCACGTACTGCGAGTGCCTCCAGTAGAGCAGCCATGCTGCTATCACTGCGCCGCATGCCACCCACACGACCACCAGCAGCGTGAACAGGGACGCTGGGAGAGAGAGAGAGAGGAGGGCCGTTTGGGGAAGAAGGGAGATCTGATAAGTGTGGCGCCGGCCGCAACCAGACCATACGCGGCATGCCACCCACACGACCACCAGCAGCGTGAACAGGGACGCTGGGAGGAGAGAAGGGGATGGATGGGGGGCGAAGAAGGAAAAAAGAGCTCTCGTGCTGCTTGTGCCAGTCCCACACCACCGCAGCCATGCTGCTATGAGAGCGCCGCATGGCACCCACACGACCATCCACAAGGGCCGTTTGGGGAAGAAGGGAGATCTGATAAGCATGGGGCCGGCTGCAACAGCACCTTGACGAAGGAAGCTGGGAGAGAGAGGGGAGGGGGAGGGGAGCGGAGAGGGGAGGGGGAGGGGAGGGGGAGGGGAGGGGGAGGGGAGGGGAGAGGGGAGGGGGAGGGGAGGGGAGAGGGGAGGGGGAGGGGAGGGGAGAGGGGAGGGGGAGGGGGAGGGGAGGGGAGAGGGGAGGGGGAGGGGAGGGGAGAGGGGAGGGGGAGGGGAGGGGGAGGGGAGGGGGAGGGGAGAAGGGCCGTTTGGAGAAGGAGGAAGATGTGATAATTCAGGGCCGGCCCGCAACCAGAGCACATGACCGCAATTTGACCAGAACATGAGATCCCTCGGCATGAGATAGGCATGTGATAGGCATGTTAGACATGAAAAGGGCATGATAGCCATGTCATAGGCATGTGATAGGCATGTGATAGGCGCATGTGATAGGCATGTGATAGGCATGTGATAGGCATGAGATGGGCATGAGATGGGCATGAGATGGGCGTGAGATGGGCATGTAATAGGCATCTGATAGGCATAGGCATGAGATGGGCACGAGATGGGCATGAGATGGGCGTGAGATGGGCATGAGATGGGCATGAGATGGGCATGAGATGGGCACGTAATAGGCATCTGATAGGCATAGGCATGAGATGGGCATGCAGGTACGAGATTCATGGGATCGGCATGAGGTTCCTAGGCATGAGATTCCCAGGCATGAGATGAGATCCTAGTACCAGGCATAGTCATCTCATGCCTGGGATTCCTAGTCATAGCCATGCAATCCAGGCATGCGATGCGTTTATTACTCGTACCAGGGTCTGAGAAGGATGGAAGAGGCAGAAAAAGAGGGTCTGAGAGGGGACGACGGCCCAGAGGAGACGTGGAAGAGAGGGAAACGACTTCTGAGGCGCCTCAAAAGGCGCCTCAAATGTGAGAGAGGGGACGGCGACTTCCGGAGGAGATGTGGAGGACTCTCCCACATCTCTCTCTCGAAGAGGGAGGATTCAATCCTCGGACATTGTCACTTTTTAGATCTTAGGACGTTGAAGATCCGATTTTTTATGTCATTCGTCCTACAGATTTTTACGGAAGATTGGTCGACGAGGTTTTTTATCCTCGGATTCCTGGTATAGGGCACAAAGGCTCTCTTTCCTCTCATCGTTACCCTGGAATAGCACCGAGGAGCAACCGACGGGATCTCCCGCCGCTGTGTCTTGATCCTTAGCTTCCTCCGCCTGTTTCTGCTTCAAACAACTCGGAACATGCCTGCTCCAACCGCCGCTTTGCGCTTTCGGCGTCATTCAAAGCTGCTTGTACCGTGACAGCTATACTACCCGAGTCGCCACGATTTTCCCTGTGGGATCGCCAGCGGCCGCGTTTTCCGACGCAAAAATCAATAGCAGCAGATCAGTTCATGATTCAGCGTCACGTAGGTATGGAGTGGTTGCTATTAGGTCATTGTGTCAGCCATCAAGGTTCAACGTCGCCTGGTTAGACTTGATTATCTGCATTCTAAAGACGAGGGCCTCAGCCAACCAGCCAAATCTGGACGAGAAAACCAGTTCTTGCACACAACAATCACAATTTCACAAACTAGTGAACCAACTCCTTTTCTCTGAGAGAAGGAGTGCCAGGCCAATTGCTCAGATGATTCTGGGATTGTACACATTCATTTTCCAGCTGGAATGAAGATTTGAGGTGCCCACAGGTGGGTTCCCCGAGTAGATTGTGACGAAAATCCAGCAATTTCAGAGCTGTCTCGTCAAATTCGAGCATCTCTCCGAGCACATTCAGCGTTTCCAAAAGCGTCTTTGAGTTTTTTTTCTATATATGAGGATGATGAAATATATAACAAACACTGAGAGCATTCCATAGTAGAGCTGATCTGGCTTAAGTACCCTTTGGCTTCCCAGACTCCACGCCAAATCTACCAATTCCTCCCCATTTTCCTTCACTGCTGTGTGTGGTGGGGGGAGGGACGGTGGGGTGGGGAGGAGTGCGGGATGGGTTGCGGGGTTTGCGATGGATTTGCTTCTGGCATGAAGGTTCAGACTACTGAACCAGGGAGCGTGATGAGAACTCGTGAAACAGGAAATCTCGTGTCTAACCCTTAGTTTTCCTAAATGTTTTCGCAGAAGCTGTTTGAACTTGGGGTTATGACCTTGTTGCGTCCACGCCGGCAAATGAAGGACAAGCAAGCCTCAGTTCTGCTCGCCGCCGCTGTTGCAAACACTGTATCTTTCTGTCTCAGTTCTGCTCGCCGCCACTGTTATTACAACCCCGCTCAGGGCAATATTTTTCTGCAAGTGGGAGAAAGTGGCGTGAGGCGGGGTGAGGCCAGAATCAGCTGGTTTCAAAAATCATCCCACTAGCACTCACTTTCATGCCACACAGTCGGCTTGCCCGTCAATGGTTTGATTGCAAGCGGGCAGGGCAACGGCGTTGACAGCATTCTGCCAGACCGTCTCGGGTCAATTGCGCCACTCAGCGATCTCAAGAAGCGAACATATTGCCGAAGGGACACAGCAACCAGAAGTTCTCCCCAATACAATCTACGAAAGCTGGCAAAACATATAAATGATGTAGTGCTGAAATTCAGTATGTTTGGAACATTACCTTCCTCAGTGGCAGATCCATCCAAACATTCGATGGTCAACTGGTCTAGAGCAACCGCGCTAATGTGATTAGGTTCTAGAACAGCTAGTATAAAAAACAGAAACTCAAGTTATCTTCAAATAATATTTCCGCTACCAAATTGTCTTTACTTTACGTTCTTGGGTACTGTAAGGAAAAATCCTTTTCCTTACTTCGCGTCCCCGCTCAGCGCACCACACTCAGCACCGTTACCACTCGCAACCCTCGCATCGACAATCCTCCCGCCACCTTCGCACGTCGCACCCCGACCTCACGGCTCGGCGGGTAACCCGCGCTCCGGGCCTCCGCTTCGACATTTTCCCCAAACCTCAGTCCCAGGCCCGTCGCGCGACAACCACAGTCCATTACCGTTACCACTGTAGTTTCGCTATATATTCTTCGCTCATGCCTTCGCTCATTGTACTCTTGCTTCAATAGTGCAATTCTCGCTCGCTCACTCAATTGCACTCGTAACAGGTACCTACCCTCATCCAATCTTCGAGGTTACCTTACCTCATCGAGGATATTCAACTATCTATGACAAACGCCACATAGGGAGCTGCATCAGAAACGGCGGGGCGCGACCATCGTATCCGAACGCGTTTCAGAGGGCGTCACGAGCGCCAAGAGAGAAACAAAAGTCGGTGCGCCCATTGGGCCTTGCTCTGATATCATGATAGACATAGGAGATTAGACTAGGAAGATCGCTAGAGTATGGAATGAGTTACGAGAATGTCTGGAGAAAAGGGGGGGATACACATAAAGGAGCAATACAAATACAAGTGCACAACCAAACATATTAGTAATTACCCAAAAACTATAACTACATGAAGTTATAGTAATATAGATTCCTGAGCGCATCCCCTCATAATCATGATATCATTGTTACGGGATATGTTATTGTTCAAGAGTATTTTACCCTAAACAATCCCCCAACCCAATCCCAACTTTATCTCCATCCAATCCCTTAGGGATTTCCCTGATTTCCTTGTGCCACGTGGCACTCTAGCTTTCTTGCATTCTATTTCATAGTCCCACGAACTACTTTCCGACATTCGCACTTGCATGCTATATCAATCTTACTTGTACTTGCCATTATCAACCAATTCTCATTCAACTCTTCAAATACTCAGTAACTTCTTCGCATATTTCGCCAATATTTTTTTCGCCAAAGTCTTCCGCCGTATTTTATCCTCGACGTAGTCGACACAGCTAATCTGTCAGATTTATATGACATAGCTACTGTAGGCTATAGTGGGGTAGCACATATAGGGTACAGTTGTCTAAGGTTTGCTTTTGTACCCAACTTTCCCTTAGTCAACACATTCTCGTTCAGTTTCTCATGGTATCGAGCAGGTTCCCCTGTGGGAACTGTTCCTAGGGCCCACCACCTTTTTTTTTTTCCTGCCCGGAGCGCGCTCTACACTGCCCGAGTCGCGCTCCCCTCTCTCGACCCTGTCGCGCCGCCTTAGCGGCCCCGTCGCGTCGCGCTTGCGGCCCCGTCGCGTCGCCCTTGCGGCCTTCACGTCGCGCCGCCCTAGCGGCCGCGTCGCGCCGCCCTCGCGGCCCCGATCCGCCGCCCTCGCGGCTCCGTCGCGTCGCGCCGCCCTCGCGGCCCTTTCACGCCGCCCTCGCGGCCCTTTCTAGCCGCCCTCGCGGCCTCTTCAAGCCGCCCTCGCGACCCCCCCCTCCTAGCCGCCCTAGCGGCCCCGTCGCCTACCCCTGTGGCCCCGGCGCCGCCCTTCCCTGCCTCGGCGCCGCCTCTGCTGGCCCCGTCGCCTACCCCTGCGGCCCCGGAGCTGCCCTTCCCGGCCCCGGCGCCGCCTCTACTGGCCCTGACGCCGCTCCACCCGGCCCCGACGCCGCTCCACCCGGCCCCGCCGCCGCTCCACCCGGCCCCGCCGCCGTCCCCACGCGGCCCCGCCGTCACCACCGAGCCGCCGGCGCCGCCGAGCTGCTGCCGAGCCGTCCGATCCACCCGAGCCGCCCGAGCCGCCGCGCCACCTGAGCCGCCCGAGCCGCCGGGTCGCCGAGCCGCCGAGCTGCAGTTGCTGCCGAGCCGCCGTACCGCCGAGCCGCCCGAGCCGCCGAGTCGCCGAGCCGCAGTTGCTGCCGAGCCGCCGTACCGCCGAGCCGCCCGAGCCGCCCGTGCCGCCGAGTTGCCGAGCCGCCGAGCCGCCGAGCCGCCCGAGCCGCCCTGTCCGGTAAGAGCAGCGCCTCTGTCACTGCACTGCCCTTACCCTACTGTTCGCGCTGCTAGTCTACTGCTGTCATGGCTACCCCTAGTGTCCTCGCTTTTGACGCTGAGGGTCGGGCCATTGACTTTGACGTCTGGGTAGATGACCTGCAGCTTTTCCTACAGTGCGATAGGGCAGACGGTCTCTCCCTCTTTGACCTCACCTCTGGTGCCTCTCCTGCCCCTGCTGCTGATGCCGACGCCACTGTTCGCTCACAGTGGGCCACACGCGATGCTGCTGCACGTCTTGCTGTGCGTCGCCACCTGCCTACCTCTGAGCGTGCGCACTTTAGCCAGTACAAGAGTGCTCAGACCTTGTACGACGCTGTAGTTGCGCGCTACTCCTCCCCTGCCACTGCTGCACTGAGCCGCCTCATGCTACCGTACCTCTTCCTTGACCTTGCTGCCTTTCCCACAGTCGCTGACCTCATTACGCACCTCCGCACTAGTGACACTCGCTACCGCG